GTCTCCTAAGTCACAGGCTAACCTTGGACTTGATATGTTGCCACAAATTACCTTGAATTTCTGATCCTCTTACCTCCACCTCCCCTGTATACCATTATTGAATCTCCACATTGGATACAGGACTTTAGCCTTCTAACAGATACAAAGAGGAATCTAATTGGCGGGTGTTTTTGTTTTAATTTTGAGACAGGGTCTCAACATATAGCCCAGGCTGGCCTGGAACTTGTGTTCATTTTAACTTTGACTCCCAAGTGCTGCCATTACAGGTATGTATTACTATGCTCAGCTAACTGTGGCTTAAACATGCAATTTATGTCAGTCAAGTTGAGGAAATCTTCCATGTTTATCAATCATGTTCTCTTATGAAATATCTATGTCAGTATCAACTTTATTATCTGTGCTTTTATAAACTTATAAGGTACCACAATCTTCTTTGGTAAGAACAGGGATTTATGGGTCTGGAGAGATGGCTCAGTGGTTAAGAGCACTGGCTGCTCTCTCAGAGGCCCCGGGTTCAATTCCCAGCAACCACGAGCAGCTCACAACTGTAACTCCAGTTCCAGGGGATCTGACACCCTTACACAGGCATACATGCAGGCAAAACACCAACGAACATTTAAAAAAAAAAAGAATAGGGGTTTACAGAAGGCCTAAGGCTGTAATTTAGTGGTAGAGTGGCAAGACCCTGGGTTCAGTTTCCAGCACACAAAGGAAAGAGAAAAAAAAAAAGCTCAAAAAATACAGATGATCCTTTAATTTTTTAAATTACTTTTTAAAAATTCAACTGTCTATAGGCCCAGTGGCTCAGGAGGCTGAGGTGAAAGGAGCACTATGAATTTAAGGTCAACCTATTAGACACAGTGAGCTCCAAGGCAGCCTGAGTTAGATAAGGCACTATCTCAAAAAATGGTTTTTTCAATATGCCTCCCTGGTACAGCAATGAGTTGTAATGTGGGCCACAGGAGCTCTCCTAGAAAGTCATTTTCTGCCATCCTTTCTAAAGTCATATAGGTTTGAGATCTTAATCCTAGCATGATTCCAGAGCAAGTCATTTTCTTCTTTGGACTTGGCTTTCCTGTCTACAGAAGATAGCGTCTATATAATATCTAAGTTCCTATCCATCAAATGTACCAAAGATTCGCCATTCCCTCAGCTACTGGTCCTTCTGTTAAATACTCTAGTTCCTCAAGTCCACTATTTTCCACCTTCATATACCACAGCATTTCTCTTGGTTTGTTTTAATCTATTTTTATTTTTGAGTCAGATTCTCATGTTGCTCAAGCTGCTCTAGAACTCAGTATGTAGCTGAGGAAGACTTTCTTTAAGCTCCTGATCCTCCTGTCTTCAACTCTCAAGTGCTAGGATTATAGTTTCATGTCACTATGCCTACTACTTTCTCTTATCATTAATTCTTTTTTTATCATTAATTCTTACCTCTTTGAGCTTTTCATCACAGAGATCCAGCATGGATTGAGAAATCTGAGTCAGTGAGTGTTTTGGCCCTACAAAGGAATAAGAAATGGCCATTATAAATGGGAGCCCAAAGTTGCCACGCTTCCCACACTTAACAAATCTACTAAAGAACCTAAAAGGTCCCAGGCACCAGCCTGGTAACTGAGTTAGGTAGATATACCAGTTTTTTTCCTCTTTATTGTTTTAAGACAGAGTCTCTTGTATCCCAGGCTGGTTTAGAACTCACTATTGTAGCTGAGAATGACCTTCAACTTCAGATCCTCCTGTCTTTACCTCCTGGGGATTACAGATATGTGCTACCACACCAGGCACAGACACTACCAGTCTTTACTCCATTTTTCAGTGTCTAACATATAACGGGTAAACTATGAATAAATTGCAATTGTTTTGCATTTGTGTCCACACATACTTGTATTACAACTGCTTTTTGTTTTGTTTTTTGAGACAGAGTCTCACTAGGTAGCTCTGGCTGGCTCAGAATTCTCTACGTAAACAAGGGTAGCCCCGAACTCAGAGATCCATTTGCCTCTGTCTTCCTAGTGCTGGGAGTAAAGGCATGAGCGACCTTTATTGGGGCTTTTAATACCTTAAAAATCATTCTGTAGATGGAGAATATGTTTAAGAATGATAATGTTCATCAGACCACAACCCATAGAACCATGGAGGCTATATATATAGCATGGAGGTCTCTAGGACGACTGTGGCTTATAATAAATTTCGATTTTACTCAATTATTGAAAAAAAATAGCCAAACAAATGGAAACACATGAACTATAAACTAAAGGCTGAGGGGCCCCCAGCTGGATCAGGCCCTCTGAATAGGTGAGACAGTTGACTGGCTTGATCTGTTTGGGAGGCAACTAGGCAGTGGGACCGAGTCCTGTGCTCATTGCATGAGTTAGCTGTTTGAAACCTGGAGCTTATGCAGGGACACTTGGCTCAGTCTGGGAGGAAGGGACTGGACCTGCCTGGACTGAGTCTACCAGGTTGATCGCAGTCCTTGGGGGAGGCTTTGCCCTGGAGGAGGTGGGAATGGGGGGTGGGCTGGGGGTAAGGGGAGGGGATGGAAGTGGGGAGAACAGGGGAACCTGTGGCTGATATGTAGAACTGAATGGCATTGTAAAATAAAATAAAAGGGAAAAAACAAAATATTTCCATATAACTAGCATTTCTTTTTTAAGATAGGGATTCTCTGTGTAGCTCTGGCCATCCTGAAACTCATTCTGTCAACCAGGCTGGCCTCAAACTCAGCTCAAACTCAAACTCCTGCCTCTGCCTTCCAAGTGCTGGGATTACAGGTGTGTGCACCACCACTAAGCCTAACTTGTATTTCTAACCACTTCTTTTGAGTATCATTTACTAGATTATCTTCCTCCATTGAACTGTTGTTAGTATCCTCCCAGAGCCTTAACCTCAGCTCTACTATTTATTTCAGCATTTGATTATTCATTCAAACATTTTATGTCTTGTCTAGAAAACGGTCAATGATGGGAATATAAGGATAATTATGAGTTCCTATTACAGAGCATTCTTGGACTAGTCAAAGAAAATAACTTGAAAACAAATCATTGCCGAACAGTGGAATCCTATCAAATATCTATGGATAAAATGATACGCTGTCAGAAAATACATAAGAAACAAGACTTGCCACAAACTGACAAATTGTTAAAATTCAGTGATGGGTACACTAAAATTTATTCCTCTTAAATTTCCATAATAAGCTGGGTGGTGGTGGCGGCACACCCCTTTAATCCCAACACTTGGGAGGCAGAGCCAGGAGGATCTCTGTGAGTTCGAGGCCAGCATGGTATACAGAGTGAGTTCCAAGACAGCCTCCAGAGCTACGCAGAAAAAAACGGTCTCAAAAACCCAAGAAAAAATTTACATAACAAAGTTGAAAAAACTATCAGTATAGATGAAATATATTGGTTGCACATAAACTATATTCTATATCACTGGACATCAAATCGGCTAATTGGAAACCAAGACTGGTGATGCAGGCTGGTAATTTTAGCTGCTCAGGAAGCTGAGGCATAGGTTGCAAGTTTAAAAGCAGGCTAGGCTACAAGAAAAGTTCAGGGCTAGCCTGTGCAACTTCCCAAGACTTCATTACAAAATAAAAAGTAAAAGGGGAGCTGGGATATAGCTAAGAGGTAGAGTACTTGCTGGAGGCTCTGGATTCAATCTTTAGTAGAATAAAAAGAAAGGAAAAAATCTGCGTTGGGGGAGTAGGGAAGGCTTGTTCTGACTCACATTTAGGGAGTCATTAAAGAACAGAAGTCCAACAGGCAAACAATAGGAAAGGACATTCCAAAGAGAAGGAAAAGTACACAAAGACACAGCACTAATTAGTCAAATTCATAAAAACATGCTACAGTACATTTCATCAGAGTCACAAGTAGTTTTGATACCATTATAACAAAGGGGTGTGTAGGATGTATGTATGTCTGTATGTATTTGCATGTATATAGGAAAAACAGGCAATGAACTTGGAAAGTCAGAAAGAACCACATTAGAAAGATCTTAAAGGCACTAGAAAGCTACTTTAAACTGGTTAATGATGCTTCTTTTCTTTGTTCCCCTTTTTTTATGGTGCTTGGACATCAAACATGTTAGCCAAGTGCTCCACCTCTGAGCTCTAACTATCATCAGTCTAAGGCAGTCATTTCCTACATTTGAGTTCTAGTGGAGAATTGCCACCCGGTCAACAATAGGAAGAATTAAGGCAAAAATGTTTGGAAGCTGTTGCAAGAGGTTAAACAAGAGGTAACAAGGGCTTCAATTAAAGCAGCAATGGTAACAAAAAGGAAAGGGACAAGTTCCAAAAAATGTAGACAGTACACTTTGTAGGACTTAGTTTGAAGTGTGAGGAAGAGAACATGGATCAATTATGACTAAAATTTCTACGTTATATAATGAGGCAGCCAGCAAAACCATTCATCTGCACAGGCAATCAGATAATGAACTGCCAGTAGGACATGAGAACTGGTCATGTCAAGCAGACAACTGGAAGCAAGGGTTTGAAGCCTTGAAAAGATGTAGAGACAGAAGAAAGGGGCATCAGTAGACATTCAGTAGCCAGAAGTAGTAATGAAAAAGAGTAAGGAGCTAAAGAGATGAAATTTGGTAAGTTGGACTGGCTTGTGGAAGGCTTCAGAATGTAGAAATTGTTATTGTCCTGTTTCTACATGAGAAACAGAAGAGGTTATGAGATGTTAAATAACATATCCATCATAGCTCTATTGGTATTATCTACTCTGGATGCCAATTCAAGGTTGAGGCTGGAGAGATGGATCAGTGGTTATAATTGCATATTATGTTCTTCCAGAGGACCTAAGTTCAGTTCTCAGCTCCAATGTCTGGGGACTCACAACCTCCTATAACTTTGGTTCCAGGTGATCAAATGTCTCTGGCCTCCAAAGGAATTTGCATATGCATACACACATATATACATATAATTTTAAAAAATGATTCTTGCTACTTCCAATACTCAGAAAGTTGAATTCACATACCCATCACAAAAAGAAAATTGAATTGAAACTAGAAAAAATTATGAATTAATACAAACTGATTTCTTCCTCCTTGCTTTTCCTGTTTGTTTTTTATAAGAAAATGGGTATCTAGCCCCTGTAACAAAAATGTAAACTGATTTAAAACACATAAAACAAATATGGCTGCAAGACTATCCTTTGTAGAGTTCACTCACACCCAGTGCCTCTCCAACTTACCTAGGTTTACTTTTTTATCTCACTACTTACCCCAACTGTTTCAACACATAAGACTTAAAATTCACCAGAGAATACATTAAAAATTAAATAGTACGAGGCTGGGTATGGTAAAACATGGCTTTAATCCCAGCACTCATTTGGGAGGCAGAGGCCAAAGGATTTCTGTGATTTTGAGGCCAGTCTGGTCTACATAGTTAGTTTCAGGCCAGTCAGGGCTACATAGTGAGACCATGTCTTAAAAAAAGGATTAAATAGAGGAACTAAAAAGAAGCAATACTTACTATATGACTGAAATGTACACTACCTGATGTTCATACCCAAGAATGCACATTATAGTCTTTTCATTCATTCTAATCTATTGAATTTAGAATTAGCAAGGGTATAGGAATCTGAAAAGTGACCTTTGCAGTCAAGGAACAAGGAATAAGGGACTATTACCATTATAGGTTGCACTATTTTTCACAATTAGTTCCAAATGCTCTCTGAATTCTTCTCGAGATGGATAGAGGCGTTTGCGCACATTTTCACGGAGTGTCTGTAGATCCATCGGCCGAGTGATGATTTTATAGTAGTCCTTTACAACCTTTGCATTAACTGGAGTATGGAAAGGGTATGTCTGTGGAAATAAGAGCCAGCACCATTTAGGAGCAAAGAACATTCGACAGAGATGTACCTGGAGTTTTCTCTTCGGGTCCCGCGGAGTGCCGCCAAGCTCCGGCAGTCCCGCCAAGCCCCACCAAGCCCCAGCAGTCCAACAGCCTGCTTATAAAATAAACACACAGACGCTTATTTAAACTGTTTGGCCTAATGACTCAGGCTTCTTGTTAGCTGTTCTTATATCTTAAATTAACCCATTTCTATTAGTCGATAAGTTGCCACGTGGCTTGTGGCTTACCGGTACCTTACATCTTGCTTGTAATGGTGGCGGCTGGCAGCATTTCCCTGCCTCAGCCTCCCACTTCCTAGAATTCTTCTCCTCCTTGTCCCACCTACCCTATCCTTCCTGCCTGGCTACTGGCCAATCAAGATTTTTATTTATCAATTGATCATCCACAACACGTAGCGACATATAGATGAACAGAAATGGGTTAATTTAAGATGTAAGAACTAGATAACAAGAAGCCTGCTGCGGCCATACAGTTTGTAAGCAATATAAGTTTCTGTGTGTTTACTCGGTTAGGTCTGAGCTGCTGCAGGACTGGCAGGTGAGAGACATTTGTCCTGACCCTGGGCCAGGCAGGACTGGAAAAAACTCCAGCTACACAGAGACAATTACATTTTCGACAATTACATTTTCCTGGTTTAACCAACTCTCAGAGGGATTTTTCAGAATTTGTTTTTTGGTGGTTTTTTTTTTGTTGTTTTGTTTTGTTTTGTTTTGTTTCCGAGACAGGTTTTCTCTGTGTAGCTTTGGCGCCTTTCCTGGAACTCACTCTGTAGCCCAGGCTGGCCTTGAACTCACAAGAGATCCGCCTGCCTCTCGAGTGGTGAGATTAAAGGCATGCACAGCCACCACCTGGCACAGAATCTATTTTTTGCATTAAGCTATTTTCTTTCTTAATTTATTTATTTACTTACTTGCTTTTTTTTTGTTTTTAGAAACAGGGTTTCTCTGTGTAGCTTTGCGCCTTTCCTGGAACTCACTTTGTAGACCAGGCTGGCCTCAAACTCAAAGAGATCTGCCTGCCTCTGCCTCCCAAGTGCTGGGAATAAAGGCGTGCACCACCACCACCTGACTATTTATATTTTATGTATGAGTGCTCTGCATATATACCTGCACACCAGAAGAGGGCATCAGATCCCACCATAGATGGTATAAGCCATCATGTAGTTGCTGGGAATTAAACTCAGGGCCTCTGGAAGAGCAGTTAGTGCTCTTAACTGCTGAGCCATCTTTCCAGCCCCCTAAGGTATTTTCTTGCTTTCTTTTTTTTCTTTTTGATTTCTCAGGACAGGGTATCTTTGTATACAGCCTTGGCTGTCCTGGAACTAACTCTGTAAACCAGGCTGGCCTTGAACTTACACAGATGTGCCTGGCTCTGCCTCTCGAGTGTTGGGATTAAAGGCGTGTGTCACCATGGTTGGCAAGGCATTGAATTCTTTGGAGCCACAGTTAGAGTTGTCTGTGAGCTACCCAACATGACTGCTGGGAGCCAAACATAGTCCTCTGCAAGAGCAGTATGTATTCCTAACCACTGAGTTGTCTTTCTAGCCCCATATATGCTAGACATTTATGCAATGCAAAAATGGTTCTTATAAGACATACAAATTTGAGGCTGGAGAGATAGATCAGTGGTTATAATCACATATTATGCTCTTCCAGAGGACTTAAGTTTGGTTCCCAGCTCCCATGTCTGGGGACTGACAACCTCCTGTAACTTTGATTCCTGGTGATTCAATGTCTCTGGCCTCCAAGGGAATTTGCATATGCATACACAGACACACACACATATATATATAATTTTAAAAAGTGATTCTTGCTACTTCCAATACTCAGAAAGTTGAATTCACACCGGGTGTTGGTGGCACATGCCTTTAATCCCAGCACTCGGGAGGCAGAGGCAGGCAGATCTCTGAGTTCGGGACCAGCTTGGTCTCCAAAGTGAGATCCAGGAAAGGCTCAAAGCTGCACAGAGAAACCCTGCCTCGAAAAGAAAAAAAAAAAAAGTTGAATTCACATATCCCCACAAAAAGAGAAAATTGAATTGAAACTAGAAAAAATTAGCTTTATATCCTCTTATAACTCATGTGTCCTTTTGCCTATATTCTGTCCTTCATCACCTAATATTCTATTAAACAATTTAAAAATAGACAAAACCCCAAGGAATTAGGAGTTCCAGATACACAGGTATACACACTACTGCCATCTAGCTGAAGTAACAGAAAACAAAGGGTCTTGGTTTTCCTATTTTATACATCTAACATAATGAACTCACATTTGGAAGATCTCTCATGTCATTGATGATAGACTCCAAGATAGATGACAGTGTCACCATAGGGTCTGTCCGGCGCCGATGGATGGATTTATGAGGTCTCTAAAACAAAACAAAACAAAACAAAAACAAGAAATCAGAATTCTTCTCCCCCAGACAGGGTTTCTCTGTGTAGCTTTGCGCCTTTCCTGGAACTCGCTTTGGAGACCAGGCTGGCCTCAAACTCACAGAGATACACCTGCCTCTGCCTCCCAAGTGCTGGGATTAAAGGTGAGCGCCGGTGCCACCACCACCACCCCGGCATGAAATCAGAATTCTTTAGCTAAAAAAACAAAAAACAAAAAACAAAAAACAAAAAACTACCACCCTGGAAATTTTTCAAATATACTGATACATTTTAGAAATCGTCAATAAAGCCAGACTTTGAGGGCTTAAGCCTATAATCCCAGCAATTGGGAGGATTGCTGCAAGTTCAAGTTCATAGAACGCTCAGTAAATTCCAGGCCATCCTGGGCTAGAGGGAAACTCAATCTTAAAAGCTAAGTTTGGAGGGGGACAAGCTGAAGAGATGGCTCAGTGGTTAAGAACCTTGCTGCTTTTGCAGAGCACCAGGGTTCAGATCCCAGTACCCACATAGTGACTTACAACTAAAACCATAGTGCACTCTCTTTTGGGCTCTGCTGGCACCAGGCATGCACCTAGTGCACTTATATACATGCAGGCAAAAAACTCTTACACATCAAAAAGAAGGGTGGGGCAATGAGATGGCCATACAAGAGAGTGACCATAATTTGATCTCCAGACTCCATGTAAAGGTGGGAGAGAACTAAGTCCTCTGACTTCCATGTGTGCATCATGACATATGCACAGACGAACGCACACACACACAAAATAAATAAATTTTAAAGCCAGATAAAGGCAAACACCTTTATCTCAGCACTTGAGAGGCAGAGGCAGGCAGATCTTTGAGTTCAAGACCAGCTTGATCTATAGAGTGAGTTCCAAGAAAGCCCCAGGGCTACAGAGAAACCCTGTCTCAAAAAACCAAAACTAGCCAGACAGCAGTAGTATATGCCTTTAATCCTGACACAGAGAAACCCTGTCTCAACGCCCCCCCCCAAAAAACCCCAAAATAATAAATGAATTGTAATAAATCATCTAATGAACAGTACACATAATTCTCAAGGAACAGACATAAGAACATCTGACACCAACAGAGCCATGTCACAGAAGGCTGGAGGAATCAATCAGAACCCATTTGATATGAAGACAACGTGGATACTCACATTCAAATAGTCACAGTGAACAGTGGTTCCAACCCGCCGTTTTTTCTTGGGAGGAAGTTGTTGTTTAGGAAACTTCAGGACCAGAGATTTTCTGCGAACTTCATCCGCACTGCAATCAGTAACATTGCCACAGTGTGTTATTTATAGTTCCAAGAAATAGGGGTGAAGAGATGGCTTAGTGGTTAAGGGTACTTGCTACTCTTACAGAGAGGACCCTGGTTCAGCTCCTAGCACCTATGTGGTAGCTCACACCCAGACAGTAACTCGAGTTCCACAGGATCAGATACCTACTTCTGACCTCTGTGCATACCAGGCATACACAGTGGTGCACTTACATACATGCAGGCAAAACACTCATACACACAAAATAAATCCTATAACTCCAAATAGATCTTTATAGTTCCCAGAAATGAAATAACTACAATGAAAAGGTCCAAAGTACCTAAGTGGGAAAAGTCAAAGAAGCCAAAGGTCAAACAGACATCTTCTAAGCAGGACCTGAATACTCCAAATTAGTAAAGAACTAAGCAAATCAAATTTTTTCTCAGTTCCTATTTAGAAAGTGAGGGGACTGGCTAAAAGCATTTTAAGACTCCTCCCAGTTCTAACATTCTATCCTGGGGTTCAAAAGGTAGAACACTAGACTCATTCAGAATATAAATGAGTCTGGACATGATGGCACACCGGGGAAGCAGAGGTAGGGAGATCTCTGTGAGTTCGAGGCCAGCCTGACCTACAAAGAAGCTCCAGTCAGGACTACACAGTGAGATCTTGTTCAAAACAAAGCAACATAAACTAAAACAAAATATAAATGAAGAAGCAGGTGTGATTACACATGCCTGTAATCCAAGGAAGGGAAAAAAAAGAATGAAAGAAAGGGAGAGGAGGATAAAGGGAGGCAAAGAAGGAAACAGAAAGACTAAAAAGAAAAAAAAATTAAAAACCAGTATAGGGGAAAAGGGGGAAGGGTTCCTGCAATTTTTAAAACCAATCCACTTTCTCCCCTCCACTGTAAGATGTCACATTTTCCCTTTCTAAGGTACTTTTAAGATATGATGCCGGGCATGGTAGCGCATGCTTTTAATCCCAGCACCCAGGAGGCAAAGGCAGAGGCGGGGAGATCTCTGTGAGTTCAAGGCCAGCCTGGTCTACAGAGTGAGTTCCAGGACAGTCAGGGATACACAGAGAAACCCTGTCTCTCAAAAAAAAAAGAAAAAAAAAAAAAAAAAAAAACAGGGCTGGAGAGATGGCTCAGAGGTTAAGAGCACTGACTGCTCTTCCAGAGGTCCTGAGTTCAATTCCCAGCAACCACAAGGTGACTCACAAACACCTGTAATGAGATCTAGTGCCCTCTTCTGGCCTGCATGGACACATGCAGGCAGAATACTGTATACATAATAAATCTTTAAAAACAAAAACAAAAAAGATGACTTACATATGTTGATAAATCAATAAGGATAGAAGAATGTAAATTAAATAAAAAAATGAATAGAGAATTGCACCAAACTAATGTTTAAAATTATATAGAGAAAGACTGAATCTAGGGTTTTGCATATACTAAACAAGAGATCTACAAATTAGCTATTAATACATTCCTATCCCTCTTTTCACTTAAAAAAGAATGTGTGTGCATGGTAACTGAAAGGCCAGAGAGGGTGTAGAATACCCTCTATAGAGGTGGAGTTACAAATAGTTGTGAGCTGCTATGTAGGTGCTGGAAACTGAATCCAGGTCTTGACCAAGAGCAGTGAGTGCTCTTAACCAATGAACCTTCAGCCCTTATTCTTTTTTTTTTTTTTTTAATTTTTGTTGTGTAACAGCCCTGGCCATCCTGGAACTTGATCTGTAGACCAGGCTGGCCTCTGCCTCCTGAGTGCTGGAATTAAAGTCATATGCCACCACCACCTGGCTTGTTTTGGTTTTTTGAGACAGAGTCTTACCATATAGCCCAGGCTGTCTTCGCATTTGTAATCCTTTTGCCTCTGCCTCCTAAGTGGTAGGATTACAGGCATGTACCACAATGCCCAGCAAGAGAATGATTTCTAAATACCATTTGCTAATAAAGGAGCCTGGACACCTCAGATAAATGGTCAATTCTAAGTCTGAGACAAGGAAAACTTTAAACATCTTGTACTAGGAAGCAAATGATTTCTCAAAGATTTATAGGATCATTTCAAAACCACAGATCTAAGGGGCCTGAGAGATGGCTCAGCAGTTAAGAGTGTTTATGGCTCTTTCAAAGAACCCGAGTTTAGTTCCTAGCACCTATATGGCAGCTCTCATAACACTATAATTCTAATTACAGGGGATCCAACTCTCTCTTCTGGTCTCTGTGTGTGGTGCACATACATACATGCAGGCAAAATATTCATAAAATGAAAATAAATAATTTTAAAATCACCACAGGATCTGGCTTAAATGAGTCAAATTGGGATATAATGCATTAAATTTATAAAGGAAGAATTTTGGAATCCACAGTAATATATTAAAATGGAAAGGATGAATTTTTCTTACCAAAAAAAAAAAATACCAGCTAGAATAGAGGAATTCTAGAATTAGAAAAAAAATCACCACTTTACAAGTGCCAATAAAATAACTTGGCAAAGATCATCAATAGCTCTAAAAGCAGTAAAGCTGTTAAGGTTGAAACAGGATATCCATCCTCATGTTAATTGAAAAAGAAAACTCTATCTTTCCTACCATATCTGGGTATTGCTACTTTAAGAAAATGATCAAGAGTTCTGGAGACACAGGTCAATGGCAGAGTACTTGCCTAGCAACCTCAAGGACCTAGGTTCAATCCTCAGTCCTAGAAAGAAAGATGATCAAAATAGTGGGAAAAACTGACACTGTGTGCTTGATGATGTGGTAATACATAATATCAACTAGGCAGTCTATTAAATGTCTAGCCAAAAATATTTAATATGAGTTCAATCAGTAGAAAACAAAGCATACTCTCCCTTGGAGTCTCTCATACTCTTGAGCATTTTCATTTTTAAAATAAATCTCTGGTCTTCTCAAAACAAAATCCAGAAAGTGGGGTATTTTGTGAGACAATTGATCTGTATGCTGCAAAAAAAACCCAATGTCATAAAAAGTACAAAAATAGGCCAGGTGGTGGTGGTGCAGGCCTTTAATCCCAGCATTTAGGAGGCAGAGGCAGGTGGATCTCCGTGAGTTTGACACCAGCCTGGTCTACAAAGCGAGTTCCAGGACAGCTAGGACTGTTACACAGAGAAATACTGTCTTGAAAAATCTAAAAAAATAACAAAAAATAAATAGTAAGGACAGTTTTAGATTAAGACAAACTCAAAATACACTTATGTTTAAACTGGGATTGTATCCAAAACTAGGAAATGAGCTACCAAAGACAATGAAATGACTTGGGAAATTTGAGTAAAATACCTGAGCATTGTATCTTACTAAATTAATGCTATTTCTTAGTCATGATAATAGTACTGTAACAGGTGTTGCAAGTCTGGGGGAAAGGTATCCTTACTGTTCAGGGGGTCAGGCGACACCTTGAGCTGCTCGGACAGCTCTGACAGCTGGAGCTGCAATGGGACAGCTCAGCTCTGGAGAGGTGTGTGTTTGCAGTGAACTGTCATGATACCTGCAATTTACTTCTCAATGGTGCAGATTATAAACATTTATAATCAAATGTGGCAAAAGGTGATCAGGTGAATTTAGAATACTTTAATTGTGAATTTTCAGCTAATCAATAGGTTTATAATTTTTGTTTGTTTTTTCAAGACAGGGTTTCTCTGTGTAGCCCTGGCTATCCTGGAACTCACTCTGTAGACCAGGCTGGCCTCTCTGCCTCCTGAGTGCTGGGATTAAAGGTATGCTCCACACCACCTGGCTCAGTTTATAATTTTTAAAATGGGAAAAATTTTAACATCTTCATTTTTTATCTATTAAATACTCTAAGGGCAAGAAGATTGGATGTAAGCATAGTCTGCTTTATTTATTTTATCTTAACTACCCACATGTCAGGTGTGGTGCTCCAAGCCTGTAATCCTAGCTACATGGGAGACTGAGACAGAAAGATTACAAGTTTGAGACCAATCTAGGTAATTTAGCAAAACCTTCAAAAATTTGTACAAGGGTTTGAGGACATATGGCTCAGTGACAGAACATTTGTCACTGCGCCTCCCAGTAACCCCCTCCAAAAAAACCAACCAACCAACCAAATAAACAAACAAAAAACAAGCAAAACAAAACAGAAGAAAAAAACACTACTGTGGTAAGGGTACTTGTGTAAATACTAAGACTTGGCCAGGCTTGGGTGGCACACACTTTTAATCCAGCACTCAGGAGGCAGAGGTAGGCAGATCTCTGTGAGTTCGAGGCCAGCCTGGTCTACAGAGTTAGTTCCAGAAGAGCCAGGGCTAGGTAGAGACTCTGCATTGAAGAACCAACTCCCCCGCCCCCAGAAAACACCCAAGACTCAATACATAGCATGTACAAAGGCAAGTAGTACTGGCAAATATTACTAATTATAATCCAAAGTTCCTGTAATCCTAGTTCTACTTCAGAGAACCATCACATCACATTTATCCCTGCCAACCACCATAATAAACCTTCAACAGCTCTCTGCTATAGCACTCTGCCTGCTAGCCCTTACCTCTCAATGAGCTGTTTTCCCAAAACGATCTTGGTCCCTTCAACTTTGATAAGTTCTTCATTATCATTATGAATGACTGTCTTTTCCAGCTCCTCCTCCTGTTCCTCTGTCATGGCAACAGGATTAGAAGGTGGAGCATTTGTTTGATAATAAAGGGGACAGAATTTGTTTGTCCTCATGTGCCCAATGGCACCACAGGCTCCACATTTCAGCTGAAACAGAAAACAAAACAAAAAAACCCACATGTTAGAGGTAAACAGGCTGAACAGCATGTCAAAAGTAGAAATGAATATGGAGCAGGGGAGAAACAAAGATAGACACCATTATATAGAAAACTGGTTTGGAAAGGTTAGGTCACAGAGCTAAGTGGCAAAAACAGATATGCTGAAGTTCACAATTCTTTCCATTGAAGCAGTTACCTTATCTTATGTTGTACATGGAATCTTTAACCTAAGTGATGCAAAACAACCTGGATGCTATGTATTCTTATCTTTTTCTGATTTCTTAAGACTTTTTTTGTGTATCTGTATTGGTGTCTATAGGTATATGTGCAAGTGTGTGCACAGGTACCTACTGAGACCAGAAGGGAGGTGTTAGATCCCTTGAAGCTGGAGTTACAGGTATTTTTGAACCATCCAATATAAGTGCCAAGATCTAAATCCCAGTCCTTCGATACAGTAAGCACTCTTACTACTCTTACTACTTTCTAGCCCCTTCTTTTAATAAGTTACCTTTTTTAAAAAGGATTATGAGGTTAGGGAAGTAGCTCATCAGTGGAGTGCTTGCCTAATACATATCAGGTCCTGGATCTGATGCTCAGTAACAAAGGTATACAAATATAAATAAATGTACCAAACCTACTTAACTCCTAGAGAAAAATGTGTGTGTGTGTGTGTGTGTGTGTGTGTGTGTGTGTGTGTGTGTGTGTACACATGTGTGTATATTCTTTCTGAGGGCCTCATGTAGCCCAGGGGAGCCTGAATTCACTATGTAGATTTGTTCCTGGTCCTCCTGTTTCAGTTTCTTTAGTATGGGGACTGCAGGTGTTATTATATTATATTATATTATATTATATTATATTATATTATATTATATTATATTATATTATATTATATTATATTATATTATATAAATAATATAACCTAGCATTCCACAATATTGCTTTCATTTTCAGTAACCAAAGAAGACAAAAGCTGAGGGAAAAGGTATGCTATCTTCCTTTGCTTTGTTAGCAGTGATAACATCATTAAACAAATTTTTTTCTTTTTCTTTCTGAGACAGGGTCTCTCTGTGTTTCAAGCTCACAATCCTGTCTCAGCCCATCAAGTGCTAGGACTGCACTGTGTCCCCCCAAACCTGCCTACTGTTCTAGACTTACTTTGAGGTCAGGGCGTTCCTTCATTTTTTTGGGCTTTTTCTCAGGAGGGCCCTTCAGCTTCTCTTTTTCCTGGTTTCGTTTAAGTCTTCTCAATTGCTCTTGGATCCTCCGCCGTTCTTTTCGCATCTCTTCTCGATGCTGCTCATCAAAAAGGGCAAATTTTCGACTGAATAACAGGAGAAAAAAATATGACAGGACCATAAGCAACCTAAATCAAGATGACTACCCGGAAAGCTACCATCTCAGAATATAAGTAATTCATCCAGGCTGAAGTGAAAAAACTGTCTGCCACCTCCACCTTTCTTGACAGTCAGTCTTCCACATCAGAGTAACATCTCTCAATCGAAGTCCTGAATAATCATTAAGATTTTGCTTTTGATTTTTGAGACAATGTTTTACAGCCCAGACTGGTCTAGACCTATGTTTCTCCTGCTGAATCCTCCCAAGTACCGGTATTACAGCAGTGATTTTTGCAAAGCCAAACCACTATAATCCAAACATAGCAAACAGTTATTTTCCCAGTGATTTGGCTCTGTTCAAATCCAAAGCTTTCAAGGCAACACAGTTCTAACTGATAGCAGATTTCCAGGGATAACAATATATATTCTAATCCCTACAATTCATGCATATACTTTGTCTCCATCATTCTTTTCCCCACCACACTCAAAAGTAGCACATCAAACTCACATGAACTCCTCATCTTTTGTGGTACGTATGCGCACATAAGCATCAATAACAGCTGGTTTTCGGACTGTCTCACAACGAACATACTCCTTCCCCTCTTCATCTCGAAATGTTCGGTAAATTTTGAGACAGCGGCCAGTGGCAGAAGAGTTAAGGCTAGTCACCGAGGCTGTGTCATCATCTCTGTGATTATTTCCTGCTGCTGCTGAGCCTGCTGCTGCAAGACAGAAAACAATTTTCAAACACTCCCTCCTAAAACCCAAATGGCCACTTTCTTGGGATTGAATGGAGACGTTCAACATACCACGAAACCCTAGTTCTACTAAAAACAGAGTTGTTACTAGCCACAAGAACACCCTGATTTGCCCTTTCCTGACTTCTTTCTAAGCACTGCCAATTTCCATTTTTATAAATATAAACATTCTAGAAATACCTCAAAGTATTGTTTGCTACTGGAGACAGAAAAACAATAGTTATACTGTTATTCCTCTGAATAGCAGAGTGACAAAAAACTCTTAGCAGCAAATAGTTGAAAACATCCAAGCAAGGACTCAGGAGGAAGAAATAAGCCCAGTCTTAAGATCTAGCATGCCGAGCAGTGGTGGTGGTGGTGGTGGTGGTGGTGGTGGTGGTGGTGGTGGTGGTGGTGGTGGTGGTGGTGGTGGTGGTGGTGGTGGTAGTAGTAGTAGTGGTGCACGCCTTTAATCCCAGCACTCTGGAGGCAGAGGCAGGAGGATCTCTGTGAGTTCAAGGCCAGCCTGGTCTACAGAGTGAGATCCAGGACATTCACCAAAACTACACAGAGAAACCCTGTCTCAAAAAACCAAAAAAGAAAAAAGAAAAAAAGAAAAGACCTAGTGCATGCTTCTCAAACTTTAATACAAATAGGAAACACCTGGGGAATCTTGTAAAAATGTAGACTAAACTCAGTAAGTATGGAGAGACGATTCAAGGTGATCCTACCTTTCTAACAAATTTCCATCAATGTAGATACTGTGGTCCAGAACTACATTAGTAAAGAACTAGAGGACCACAATGGTGTAAGAGCCATATATCTTTACTAAGTAGCCAGAAAAACAAACTTATACAAACTTTACAGAGACGGGCAAACAAAGGTAAGACTAGTATGAATGAAAATAGTCACTCTAATCTTCATCCTCAGACTTCATCCTCTCACTATCTACATTCACTGCCTGCTTGATAGCTATTATAATCAGAAGAATCACAGGGACCTTGTTATCCATCTTCCTCATCATTAGCTTCTGCAATTATTGGATGAGTTTTAGCTCTTTTTTGGATCTAAGATTCCTTTAAGAATCTTCTGAAAATTATGAATCTTCTCAGAAAATTGCCTATCTGCATAAAATTTTAAATATAAATTCAAAGACAACCTGGCAAATTCATCTGGAGATTCTCTATTTTATTTATGTTTTTGAAGACAGGGTCTCATTAGTTACCTAACCCAGGTAGGCCTTCAAATCAAGAGCCTCCTGCTTCAGCTTCCCAAGTGCTGGGATTCTAGGTATGTGCCACCACATCTAGCCAGACACTTCTTGTACTTTTTAAAACTGTTTCTCTGGGGGATGAATTCCCAGAAAGCTGATTTGATTTTAAGTACACCACTGGTAGCCCTAGCTTGGCCAGGTTCCTGACACAGCAAGAGGATGCAGTAAGCTGGCAGCATCTCTTCAATGTTTTCCCTACAGACTGGAGTCCAGTTTGTAGAATTCTCTCTACCTCATCTACAGGTTTCTCTATACTTATTCCTTATTTTGTCTCTGGCTTGGACTCAGTTACAGTCTGCACTTATCCAAGCTCCGTTTTTGATCCCTTTCTTTTCTTGTGTGAGAAGCCCCCTCACCCAGTAGCATCCGCTGGAGTTCCTTCCGCTCCTGCTCCTCCCTTTCCCGAGATAGCTGAGAGCTCGTTTTCTTGTTCTGCAGCATGTTCTCAATGTTCTTCCCCATTTCTTCAAAGTCACTGTCTTCGGCTGAGCTGCTGTCTGTGTCAGTTGATAAGACTTCAGTCGATGACAAAACCCTAGCAAGAGAGGAAAAGTTAAAGACCAGGGGAAATACAAGTGTAGCAAGAAGTAGGATTGGAGAAATAGAAAACTGAGAAATCGCAGGGTGGTGGTGGTGGTGGTGGTGGTGGCGCCGGCGGCGCCGCTGCACACGCCTTTAATCCCAGCACTCGGGAGGCAGAGGCAGGCGGATCTCTGTGAGTTCGAGGCCAGCCTGGCTAAAGAGTGAGATCCAGGACAGGCACCAAAACTACACAGAAAAACCCTGTCTCAAACCCTCCCCCACAAAAAAAGAAAATTGAGAAATCAACCTTAAAAAGATATACTCAGAATCCACAAAGTCATGAAACCCCTAACAGAAAAACTACATATTCCTAGACATTTCACAAGTCTGTAGTAATTCTTTCAGAATCATTGGGGAAAAAAAGCTAAGAAAGAAGCACACAGGCCATTTTTAAAAATTTTTCTTGAAAGAGATTCTCACTGCTTCCTCTCTCCACCACCTCCTGCCCCCGCCTCAGGTATGCCTTGAATTCCTTATCGTTCTTGCCTTAGCCTCCCAAGTGCTGCTCAGCTCACCAGTACAATTAGATTCATAGATGCTTTTTAATAGCATATTACTATTCTTTCATAATTAAGCCATTAGTGGAAAAAAACATAACCACTTAAAAGTGCCAGACCCAGGCAAAGTAGGCCACACAAACTGTCACCAAACCATGAGATCAAGCTTAGCATTTCATGACATTCAAAGCTTTTGCTAAATTACTTTGAAAACAGTAGGTTCAGCAGGCATGGTGGCACATGCTTATAATCCCAGTACTCAGGAGGCAAAACCTAGAGGACTGCCAAAGGCTTGAATCCAATATGGGCTACATGGTAAAACCCTGTCTCAAAAAAAAAAAAAAAGAAAGAAAGAAAGAAAGCTTTAAAAAAGCTGTGCACTTTGGTGATAAATGCCTTTAATCCCAGCACTCAGGAGGCAAAAAGGTAGGTGATGGGTTCAGGGCTGACTGGGTCTCCATAGTGAGTTCCAGGTCAGCCAGAGTTACAGAGTGAAATCTTGTCTTTAAAAACAGGAATAGGTACTCTGGCAGTATTATTACAGATGGTGCCTGGTATTTCAGATACCCAATCACCTAGTTACATTTTTTTCAGGTGACATCCTCTTCATTATACAACAATATCTGGTAGAGCATGGTGGAGGATACCTGTGGTCCAAAATTTAGGAGACAGGTACAGGAGGATCATCAAAAGTTCAAGGCCAGCCTATCCTATATAGCAAGTTCCAGATCAGCATGGCTATATAATAACTCATCCCAAAATAGAAAAATAGTATGTAGGAGCTGAAGGCACAGTTTATTGATAAAGTACGTGTCTTGCATGTACAAGGCCATTAGTTCAAAACAAAACATGTCTAGGACACTTCCCCTTTCCAGCTTAAACTTTCCACAGTACTGAATTAACATACTTGTTCTGTAGGTCAAAGATACGCTGACATTCCTCTTTGTAACGCTCTTGATGCTCAGCCACAGAAAACCTTGATCCACGGGCAAATTTACTCATGGGCCCCTCTCCAGAACGAGCCTGTTCTGTTGACATTGTGCGTACCACATCAATAACTTCCCAGCGGGACAACTTTTTAATCTATAAGAGAAACACAGAACTACATATATACCTCATTTAGGGATGTAAAAGGACAAACCAGGGCCGTTATTAGAAATATAGACAAGAAAACAAAGAGAAAGTTTGGGTAAAGTATTTAGGACCTATCATGATCTACATCACATTAAAAACCCCAGATAGTTCTTTATACCTTCCTACCTTTCTATCTGTATACAAAGCCTCTTACTCAGAGTTTTCCTCTTCTACACCTACCTCTTCCTCAGGCACACCAAATTTACGAAGAAGTTGTTTGGCATTTTTCAGAGACAGGCGACGAAGGTCTGCATCTGTTCCCGTGACGGTCTTCTTCACTGGCTGAGGCTCCTTATCATCCTATCTCAAACAAAAACAAGTGAGAATCTGAAGCTCAACTCCTAACAGTAAGCATCTATGCTGTTCTGGCAAATGAACCATTTCCAGGTCTTCTACTCTATTTTTTTTTTTACTGCTCCAACCTCATTCCTTCCTCTTCATTTCTAGCAATCTAAAGACTCTCACCTTCTGCTGTGTAGGTTTGTTTGGAATCTTCACATAGGAGAATCCTTCACCACAGCCTGTGGGATCTGCTACTCCAGTCACCTCCAGGAGACATTTGCCCTTCATGGCAGCAATGAAAGCTCTTGTAGTATTCCAAGGAGCAGTACGAACCTAAGATAAAGAAAAGGAGTCAGGGTTGTGGGAAACATTGTTCCACGTCTAACCACTACCTAAAAGGGTAGAACAATTACTCTGAATGTTTCCACGGTTTCTTAAATTATCTAAATATCAAGTTAAATAGAGCAGCTATCCAATGCTCAGCTCTCTTCTATGATACTTAAATCACAGTGTTTAGAGATTCAGAGTGCAATCAGGATAAAAAATATGTTTATCAGTGGTGTTCTTCAGTCCATTATCTCTAGGATTTCAGTAGGTAGTGTTGTACCCACATTCATGATGATCATAGAAGGACAACTGCATTTTATTGTCCAATTTTTCAAATGGTTTTCTTATTCTGATTTTTTTTATAGTAGGTTCTCTAATCTAGGTTGGCCTGGAACTCTCTATGTATTAGAGCATAATGATCTTGAACAACTGATCTTCCAAAGTGATGGGATTACAGATGTGTGCCATCTCACCAGCCAAAAACCTTCTTTTTAAAAGAGATAATGAGACGGGCGGTGGTGGTAGTGTGTGCCTTTAATCCCAGCACTCGGGAGGCAGAGGCAGGCGGATCTCTGTGAGTTCAAGGCCAGCCTGGTCTACAAAGTGAGATCCAGGACAGGCACCAAAACTACACAGAGAAACCCTGTCTTGAAAAACAAACAAACAAACAAACAAACATAAATAAATAAATAAATAAATAAATAAATAAATAAATAAATAAATAAATAAGATGATGAGGGCTGGAGAGATGGCTTGGTGGTTGAGCGCACTGACTGCTCTTCCAAAGGACCCAGGTTCAATTCTCGGCACCCACATGGCAGCTCACACCTGTCTGTAATTCCAGTTTCAGGGGACCCGACACCCATGGCAAAACACCAATGCATATAAAACAAAAATAAATTAATTTTAAAAGAGATAATGAGAAGCACTGATTTAAAAAAAAATGAGTGTTGTGGGCCAGAAAAAATGGCTCAGTGATTAAAAGCATTGCTATACAATCTTAAGGACTGGAATTTGGATCCAAGCACTCAGATAACAATCCCCAGCCACAAATGCCTATAACTACAGCTCTGAGGGATATGATCCCCTCTTCTGGACTCTGTACACAGGCACACACATATACACGAATAAATAAATCTTTAAATTAAGAAAAACTATAGAGCCAGATGGAGTGGCACATGCCTTTAATCCCAGCACTCAGGAGGCAGAGGCAAGCAGTTCAAGACCAGCCTGGTCTACATAGTGAGTCCCAGGACAGCCAGGACAACATAGAAAGACCCTGTCTCAAAAAAAAAGAAAAAAAGAAAAAGAAAGGAAGAAAGAAAGAAAAAAAGGGCTTGCTGCTCTTTCAGAGGACCTGGGTTCAGTTCCTAACAGCCATGTCAGGTAACTTATAAATAAGCACCTGTAACTCCACCTAGAGAGATCCAATGTCTCTGGTCCTCCAGGCACCTACACTCACTTACTTATGCACACATATCCACACAGAGACACACATATATATAATTAAAGATAAAAATATACAAATGTTAGCCGGGCGGTGGTGGCGCACGCCTTTAATCCCAGCACTCGGGAGGCAGAGCCAGGCGGATCGCTGTGAGTTCGAGGCCAGCCTGGGCTACCAAGTGAGCTCCGGGAAAGGCGCAAAACTACGCAGAGAAACCCTGTCTCGAAAAAC